GGGGGGGGGGGAGAGAGAGAGAGAAAGAAGGAAAGCAAGGGAGACCGGATGATGGACTGATTACGCTCCACGGCCGAGATAGCAGCTCGATAGAAGAGAACTTCTACGAATTCCAAATTCACTTCCCGAAGCGTTCATTTCCGGCGCTCGCCAATGCTGTTTCGAGGCTTGATACCACGCTAAGGAATTTGGAGCGAAAAATTGAACTTGATGGAATAATTTACGAAAAATATGTATAAGCTTCTCTGATTGCGCTACATTACACCGATCCATTACGAATTAAATCTAACACGGTAAAGAGTGGCGTTAAGGCCTCTTTCTAAATTCTTGACTAGAAATGAAAAAGTCAACGACCACACGATTCCGATAACTGTAAAAAATAAAATCATTAACGATCGATATCTACGGTTAAATTCGAAAATTAAAACAGAATCGGGCGCTAAAATTTTGAACAGAATCGGGCGCTAAACAGAATCGGGCGCTAAAATCTTAACAGAATCACTGACAAGAAAATATTCGAAGGATAAGTGAAAGGAGCATTGAAAACAAAGGTTCGTGCGGAGGAGAAAAACTCGAGAGGCTTCGAATTTGAGGAAAAATAAGCGCATCTAAATTAATAATCAATATCGATCATCAGACACGAACACAAGATTTAGACAGCGAAGAAAGGCGAACAACCCGGAATGAAAGCACGAAAAGCTCGTGCATTATTGCGAGATGATGTGACGCGATGCTCCGATCGCGCCCTCGTCCGACAAAGAAGCCTCAAACCGTATCAAACGAGTCGGCGGCGGTGCGGCATTGAAGTGGGCGCGCGGAAGGGTTGGGATAGGCGCGTGGACAAACGAAGGATACAACAAAGGATCCGGGCGCAGGGAGGCAGAACGATAAAGGGAGACAGAACGATCCTGCCGAAAGTTAAAAGGGAATCCATCCATAAATAAGCGCGGCTCTCTACGGGGTTTGCCTTGGCGAGCCGTGGAACGGCCACGGATCAGCGCGCGATCTCCAACGGAATAATAATGCGGGTAAAATAAAACCGGCCTCCCCCTCGAACACTCAGACAGGCTTACGCACCGAGTCTGAACACACGCATCAACGTTGGATAGCGTACGTGTAAGCTGTGTGCACACCGAGAACCCATATAATACCCCCATAGAGAGATGGGAAGATCAAACACTGAAATTACAGCATTGTGAGCATTCTTCTTGCGGCCACTCTTCTTCTTCTTCTCCTTCTTCTCCTCCTTCTTCTTCTTCTTTTTCTTCTACTCCTCCTCTGCTTCTTCTTCTTCTCCTTCTACTACTTCGAGTTTGTGCTTACCGATAACGGTCTTCCTCCTCTTTCTTTCTATCTTTCTGTCTCAGTCACACACACGGCGAACAACGTTTTACTTTCTTCTCGCTCCTCTTCGTTCTTTGCCTATCGCCCCTCGCCCTTGTTCGCATAAACACACACTTGCCGTGCCTGCATAAGGCTCCCTTTATTATCAAAACCCGGATCGCGTGCATATTGCATCGGTGCACCGAGAGAAGACCGCGCTGCTCTCGACCAAACCGACCGGCCGCTCTCTCTGTTGCATCTATCCGTGTACATCGAAGTCGTAGCTGTAGCAACGCTCGTTTACTCCTCCTCCTTCTTGTTCCTCCTCTTTTCATGGGGCGAGTCCTCCTTCTAAAGGACCTGCCTTGTCCTGGACGATCACCGCGAGATCACCAGCTATAGAACACATTTGGCAACGATAGCTCGATGAGGCGACCGTGACGCCATGGAAATTACCGTCTCCACCTATCCAACCCAGCAACATAGGAATAAATATATCATAACTATACGAGCGCAGATTTTCTTCTTCGAATCAGATATGGGTAACAGGTGCAACCAGGAGGGACAAAGTATCGATTTCTCGAACGTGGATGGGATTTAAAATAAATATGTACTGCATTTGTCTTTGAAGCTAAGAGCGTACAAACGGACGAGAAACGTGTATCATCGGCTACATAAGCAAAGCGAGATCAACGTATCTATCTTAAGTAGCTACAAAGGAAGGACGAGAAAACGAGAACAATTCAGAGAGTGAATCGAATTTAATCCATTCCGATTTAAATCAGAATGCAACGTTGCGTTAAATGGAACATTTCGATATTTTTTCGATCGATTTACGTTATCGAAATCAAGTCTTCCGACATCGTGTCGAATGAAATATAATCCATTCCAAACCAGAGGAAAGCAAATAGACAGACTGTTTTACGTTTTTGAAACATCGAAAACGCAAGCAATGTGAAGCAGATGAAACGTAATTCGTTGGAAGCCAGAAGGCAGCAAACGAACAAAGCCGGTTAATTTCCAAACATAGAGAGAGAATAAAACTCGGAGCAGGCCGGATATCTCGAGGCATTCCTTCCCTTATCCGTGACGCTGCTGGATCCTGACGCGAGCGACCGTTTCTTTTCAGGCTCCGGTCACTTATGGCGATTTAACGGATTTAACGACCACACCTGTACCGCTGTGCTTCTCCTCCTGGTCCCTTTTCCGTGTAGCGACGCCGTCCGATAAGAATCGGGCCGAACTGTGAGAATCGACGACGACGACCAAGAGCCAGCTACAACCATTCGAGAGATCGATCGCTTCTCGTCGTACCCGACGACGACCAAGACGACGACGGCGAAGGCACACGGAGGCGCGTTTCCATCTCGCGGAATGCATTAAGCCGGACGTCGTCCTCGCGAATGGAACCAAGTGAGCGGCACGCAGACGATTTTTAACCAGATAGGATTCTGCCTCCACCTCCTCCTCATCTTCCCCACCCATTCGACCTGCTGTCCCGTCTCTTTCCTGCAACCGTCGAAGAACTCCCGCACATACGAGGAGGCGCATAAAGTGAATGCATACACGGCTGTACCAAGAGAAAGAATAAACGCGGCCCGACAGGGTCGGATCGGAAGGGAAAGAAGGTAGTCTATATTCTGAGATATCTTTCCTCCTTTGAGCCTGATTCGTTCGTCTGAATTTGCACGGTTCGAGATTTTTGGAAAAGAGAAATCGAATTTAAGACGATAGATAAATAGAGGATTTTTGCACATTTTGTTGGATTTCAAGTATCGTTAATTGATAGATGCTGTACGAATTGAGAGTTACATAGCAAATTTATAAAATTAGTTGTACTTTTACTTTCACTTTTTTAGTTTGTAGAACACTCGCAAGCTTCACTATATACGCGTGGAGGAATATCATAAAACTGGACAAAATATTATATGCTAACGAGTTTAAAAAATATTCGCGATACGATCAATTGTTGGACGCTATAGCCGAGCCAGATTCGATTAATCCACTCCTGGTCGACAAACGACGACAGACCTACGGATATCCGTCCGTTGAACATGTGGACTGTGTCTGCCCCGAGGGGGTTGAGGCAGCGCCACTGAGGGGGTTGCCCCGTCGAAGAGAAAGAAAGAAAGAGAGAGCAACCCCAGACGATGCGGAGACTGATAAAACTACGAATGATAACGCTGTCCCCGACTCGGTTACCCTCTGCCCGCGCCCACAGTCCGTCTGTTTCTGACTATCCGCGATAATCTGGTGCTTCCGCATGCGGCGAAACAGTTTCGACCGTAAAGCTGATCCTTTCGCGCGGAAAACACTTCTGACTTTCAATCGAACCAACTTGCTACGATAAGCTGCCTGCAATTCCGAATATTCGTCCTTGTTTCTATATATTATGCAAAATTACGAGAAAACGTTATCTACGAAAAGATGTTTCCGAAAATATTGTTACAAACGGAAGACGGAGCTTTTATATGACTTTTCAAAACGAATGTGTAAAATAAAAATTCGATTACTAAAGAAATTTTTAAAGGTTCCAATAACGGTGCTATAAAGCTGGGAAGATAATAATTTATTTATTACCAAACTCGCTACTATCATACAAGAAAATTAATAGCACCGGTAACTTATAAAAATTACAATGCCTATCTTCCTCATTTACAAATAACCAAGATTATACAAAGATCTCAGTGATCGTTTAATCTGCTCGTTCGCTCTTAGGGAATTCTAACTATGATTACACTATTATCGAACGATCACATATATCGAGGCCTAAACTTCCTCGAGTCCCTAACCACTCGATCGCGTTGATCCTTGAACCGGGGAACCCAGCACGACCGATAAGCTAAAGTATCATCACCAGTCCCACGATATTCAGTTTCGATACGCGTTTACGCGTCAACACCAATAAACGTAGCGAAACGTCAACGAGAGAGGGGCAACAGCCAGTCCATCGATACGCGACCGATTGCCACAGCAAAAGATTTTCCCCTAGACCACGGGGCACAGGGTAGATCGTTATCGATTCCTGTGACCAAGATCGCAGCCCCGAATCAAAGCGGTTAGCAGCGGGTTACAAGCATACCGTACGCCACGAACGAAGAGAGCAACGTGTAAAGGTGCGCGATGCTCGCAGCTCGGGGGACGTGCATCTTCTTATGGCCGACGAGAAGACAGTAGTCCTTTCTCGTGAGAGATTCGCGGCCGATAACGAGCGTCCCGTTCGCTTCGTATATCGCTAGAGCTCTCTCGCTTCAAAACCCTTCGACTACCTGGTATTCGCGTTAGCGCAAACCCAACATACTCGCTGCCCTACAGAGGCAGAAAACTTTTCAAACGCGTTCGCGTGTTCGTTCGAATCAACTACTTGAAGACGTGAGACACAGTGTAACGCGTCTTTTATCGGAACAATTAGATTATATGGAATCTTATGAAAGTAGGTACATTGAGAGTATATTTGTATATACGTATATATGTATTAGATTTTTCGAAAAGTATCCTTCTTTCGCAAACGTGTTTTTTACAACAGCGCATCTTCATACAAACCAAGTCTGTGAAATGTCGCGGTGTTTATCTCAACAGAACAAAATGCATCGTACGTAATTCGATAAAATAATATAAAACAAAAAACGTTGTGCGTCTATTATTTCCTCATGAAACGAAGAAAACTTTTCGGACAATCTAGTATATCGTAGTTCGTTAAATGTTTCATTTGTCAAAACAATGAAATAGTACGTAGAGGTGAAAAGTATAAGTCGTATTAAAGTTAAAAAATCGCAGCAAGATTATCGGAACCCTTAAAAATTATTATCTCGTGTAAAACGTTACACCATAAGCAATTACGAGGAGAATTCAAATCGTCTTTAATTTTCCACTAGGATTTAGCGCATTATCGTTAATTTATTACGTTTCTATAATTGCTATGAAAATACAAAATTCTAATTGATCGTCCCTATAATCCAGTAATAATTCAATATTTATGCACAGTATTATATACAGATAATATATATACGTATATCATACGTATACATATACTCTATCTCACATTTTATTTACGCTTTAGTTAAGAACTAAAAACTTCCAAATACACGGTGTTTCGTTGCATCGAAGCAGCGATACGAGAATACCAAGAGAGAGCGCAGCCGCAACATCGCAGCGGCTGTTTGCCGTTGATTCTCTCGCTCTTTCTGTTAGCGTTAGGCTACGCTCTCGACACGCTTGCCGATATCAGCCGATAAGATCGAGCCTGCATGTCGATGCCGGCTGGAGAAGCGACGAGAGGCGCGGATATGCTCGCAGCAACGGATCGCGGAGCACGGGGTCTGCGAGAGAGGTGAGGCGGCCAACTAAGAAAGAAGTCCAGGTAACACGGTCGCGCGATCGACGAACGCGACGTGGGACGCGCAGCTGACACCTCTATACAAGCGCCAACGTTCCACCTAATTAACGCCGCGACCGCGTGCAACGCCGTTGTCAAAATAACACGGCGATCGGTCTTGCCGATCGACACTGACTCGTACCATTAACGCTGTTATCGGGTTAGATCAATTAGAGGGCTGGGAGCGTTCCATGCTTTCCTTCTCTTCAGGGAGGCGAACGAAAAGAAAAACGCGCCACTTGCGAAACCGATCGATGGAACGAAGAAGGAGTGCATCGAACGCCTCTCTATGTAAATAAGCCGTTTCTTTTTCCTGCTAGGATCAACGAGGTGTTGGCTGACACCTTCAGCTGCGAGTTTGCTGACGACGCTTTATTTATTTGGGTCAACGCATTTCTCGCATTGTACGCCCAAACTTTTGCTCCTTCTTTTAAGAGGTCGTAAGAGTCAAACTTCTGAGCTTAGACGCTATTAATATTAAGTCGAAGCTGAAGGTTCAATTATGTGATCTGAGCTTGGTAAATCTTGCGAAAAGTGGCGGGAAGAGTAGTCATCTCTTACACGAGCAGAAAAACGCGTCTTACTAGGCATACTTTCGATGCAACAAAAACCGCACAGTCCAAACTCTGTTGCTTGTACTGTAATTATATGATCTACTTATTAATTCTTTCATCGATACGGGCGACTTCTCAACTACGTAGAAAATCACTATCAGTTAAGGAACCAATTTCTGGAAAATTGACATGGATCACTTACAGCTGGAGATATTGACATTTTAAACGATAACGATTTATAATATCGTGTTCCTCGTTTGTATTTACTACGTTTTGTTCAACAAATTGCGAAGATATCGCGTGAAATTAAAATGTCCAGTGACCGAACAAATTGCTTTCTTCCTTCGTCGAATCGAACAGGAGAATAGTCCTGACAACTCGTCTATCAAATCTCAACTCATCTATCTAAACAGCAAGCTGATAAATGCTCAAATCCTTTCACGTCAAATACGCGTTAAATACGCGCGAAAGTCATTCAGAGTCGTCAGAACCAGGAATCATCCTATTCTCCTGACTCGCTGGTAGCGAGCTCGCTCGACAGGCGCGGCAATTTGTCTTTTCCTCCTTCGAGGGAACCTAATATCAATTTCTCAGCAAAGACTGATTACGTTGAACCCACGCGATCGGTCTGTTCCTCGTTTCTCGACGCGACACGTCATTCGAAGCTCGTCGAACAGCGCTGTTTAAAGTGCGAACACGTGGGTGGCTACGACGGCCAGAGTAACGAGGAAGGGAACCAGGGAAGGAGGTAAGAGAAACGAGAAAGAGGACGAGAAGGAGGAGCCTGGCGCGAGAAAGACGAACGAAGAAGGAGGACATTTAAGAAAGATTGAGGAGCGGCATCGCCTCATTCCACCTTCTTATCTATGCATCTTAAAGAGAGAATTCGTGTGCGTACGCATGTACAGTCACCCACGGAAGTCTTTATATGCTTTATAAAAGATGCATTTTTATTTAAATAAGACGTATAGTGCTATCCAGAAGCGTTTGACACCTGTTAATTCCTTCGATCGTCCTTAGTTCAAACGTTATTCTTAAGGTTCCAAAGCTGGATTTACATTTCGTAATAGAAAATACCCTCTGCAATCAAATAATCGAACTTTCATTCTATCAAAAGTGAAAATAAAATTGTTGCTTACGCTAAAAAGAAAAGAAGAAAAAGAAGAAACACGCATGTGGGGAAATCATGGAAAAAGAGCTGGTTTTAGATTTTATAGCAGAAAACATTCTCCACGATCAAATAATTGAACTCCCGTTCCATCAAAAGCGAAGATAAAATCTCCTCGTACATCCAAGTCTGCAGATTCCCGTTTCACCAAGAACAATCTACGGAACAATTTCGCCAACGACTCTATCGGAACAACACATCGACCTTAACAAGCGAATCTCGACCACACGACACGCCAGGAACACAGGAAGACGGAGAGATTCGACGCGAGATCAGAAGGGGGTTGAATTATGAGGACAAACGAAGAACAGAATCGCGTGACGACAATTATCGCGAGGCTAGCTTAGCTGTAAGACGGAGGAGCGACAATCTCTGTGGTACAACGCTGACTGACAACGAACCAGAGACTCAACTTATGTCGAGGACCTAGGTTGGAACGTGGCAAAACGCGGAGGGG